TTTTTTTTTTAACTTAAACCAGTCAGTTTCTGTTTCTTAAATCTTCATTTTTTAAAGTTTTTTTTTTTTAATTTTGTTTTGTTTTGGTTTGTTTTATTTGAGAGAGAGTGAGAGTGAAAGAGATCACAGAGGGAGATGGAGAAGCAGATTCCCTGCTGAACAGGGAGCCTGATGCACACTGTCCTGGAGGAGGAAGCTTCTTATGGATCCTGGCCACAATCTGCAACGAGGCTATTGCCCTCCGACTAACTGCGCTACCTCCCCACTCTTCCTCACACAGAAGCCCTACAGGAATGACTTGGGCCCGCCGTGGCTGTGCTGTCTACGTGGTCTCCAGAGCTTATGAGGAAATCTGAGGGCATCCGAAATTGGTTACATTCTCCTTTGTCCAGGATGTTGGAAAGGGCCGAGGACTTACTTTCTAATCCTGGAATTAAAGACTGGAAAATAACTTCTCCTGCCCCGCCAACCAGTTCCATCCCTCACAATTGAGAGCCTTTTGTGCCAGTTCCAATGTGGATGGTATTCAGGCATCAGGCTGACCTGCTTTTCAGTATCTCATACCTCAACCACCAACACCTCCCTGTGGCCAGTCATAGAATATTCAAAAGTCTGGAATGGACCCATTGACCCTGAAGCTTAAGGGTTGGCTTGCCACTTCAAGTCTAAACTCTACCTAGTTTCCAAGAATGTCTATAACCAGGCCTCATTCTACCTTCCTAGTCCTTTCTACCTTCATGGAAGTAGTCTTCAAATTTTTTTTGCCTCTCTATTCCTCAAAGAATATATAACTATGAAGCTCCTTGCACATTTTTAAGGTGACATCTGATATTTTTCACCATTAGTTGGAAAACTTAAAACACAGAGAATGGATGTCATTTCTACTATTCTGTAAATATTGACATTTTCACATAAAACTGCATTCCTACCCTTTTAAATATATTGAATAAGACCCAAATCCCATAGAGATGTGATGCTTACCATCACCCATCTTAAAAATACATGAAGAAGCTCTTCTTTATCAATAGAAAATATTACATTGTCTCTTTCTCTCCTTCTTCGTGCATTTCCATTCCATTTTCCCCTCAAAAATCTGATCAATGTAACATATTTTTTTGCTTAAGTGTTTTATTGATTACCATATCATACATCTCTGCAACCAAAATATGTCTATACATTGAAATTTTTAAAAAATAGATTTTAAGGGTGCCTGGGTGGCTCAGTGGGTTATAGCCTCTGCCTTCAGCTCAGGTCATGATCTTAGGATCCTGGGATCGAGCCCCACGTCGGGCTCTCTGCTCAGCAGGGAGCCTGCTTCCTGCTCTCTCTCTGCCTGCCTCTCTGCCTACTTGTGATCTCTGTCTGCCAAATAAATAAATAAAATCTAAAAAAAAAAAGATTTTATTTATTGTAGAGAAAGAACATGAGTGGGAGGGCAGAGAGAGAGGGAGAAGCAGGCTCCCTACTAAGCAGGGAACCCAACCCTGGGGGCTCGTTCAGTAGGGGGGTCCCCCTCTATCCCTGGACCCTGATCATGATCTGAGCCTAAGGCAGACACTCAACAGACTGAGCTACCCAGGTGCCCCAAAATTTTAAAAATTTTTAAGTTTCATGTAACTATAAAACTTTTTTTTTAAAAGATTGTATTTGTTTATTTGACAGAGAGAGACAGTAAGAGAGGGAACACAGCAGGGGGAGTGGGAGAGGGAGGAGCAGGCTTCCCGCTGAGCAGAGAGCCTGATGTGGGATTCGATCCCAGGACCCGGAGATCATGACCTGAGCTGAAGGCAGATGCTTAACCGACTGAGCCACCCAGGGGCCCCAGTAACTATAAAACTCTAAATGAGAAATTTTTTTCTGGTTTGAGTGACCATTACAAAATTAGTAACATACAATTGATCAAAACAACATAAATGCTCTGATTTTTATAAATATTATGCATAAACACAAATGATACATTGGAAATGTATTTTTTAAGGATTTATTTATTTTGAGAGAGAGAGAGAGCATGAGCAGGGGGTCCAAGGGAGAGAGAATCCCAAGCAGACTCCACCAACTGTGCCACACAGGTGCCCCAGAAATGTATTCCTTTTCTTTTCTTTTTTTTTACATTAAAAAAAAATTTTTTTAAATTTTAATGTATTTTTTTCTTTTATTAACATATAATGTATTTGTTTATGGTATAGGTCTGTGAATCATCAGTCTTACACAATTAAGTCTTACACAATTTTATTTATTTATTTGATAGAGAGAGCATGAGAGCACAAGCGGCAGGAGCAGCAGAGGGAAGAGAAGCAGGCTCTCCACTGAGCAGGGAGCCCAGTATGGGGCTTCATCCCAGGACCCTGAGATCATGACTTGAGCCAAAGGCAGACACTTAACAGACTGAGCCACCCAGGCACCCTCAGAAATGTATTTCTTAATGAAAGGATGGGCTGCTTTTTTCCCCAGGTAGTTCCTATGTTCATAGTTGAATATAAGTTATTGCTGGAATAAGATGACATTCGGCATGAATTCCAGCCCCGTGTTTTCATTTATGCTTCATTTTCATTTCATATCAATAAGTAGATGGGAATTGAGAATTCTGATACAGCAGTGGCATCTAAATCCCAGTTGTTTACAAAAAAAAAAAAAAACAAACACCAAATCACAAAGATCTATTATGAAAAGATATTGTTAATGATTTTTCAGCTGACAGTGCAATTAAGTCCTTTTAGGTTTTGAAGCAAAGATTTAGAAACCTCCTGACTTGAAAACAAAAAGAATTTCTTGTCCAGCTTTTAAGCCATTCATTTTCTCAGCACCCACAGCCAGCACCAGCATTGCAAATTGCTGCTTTGTTTAGTGTTCCAGGGCATCCCCCCACCCCGCCACAGTCCACCATTGAAAGATAGTGGGTGAAGGAGTGGTGAACCTTGTTACAGAAAGTAGGGAAGGCGACAGTGTGAAAGAGGACAGCAGTTTTGGGTGCCTCAGTGATGCATTCACTTAAGCGTCCAACTCTTGGTTTCAGCTCAGGTCATGATCTCAGGATCATGGGATTGAGCCCGCCCCCCCCCATGTCGGGCACCTGGCTCAGTGCAGAGTCGGCTTGAGATTCTCTCTGTCGGTCTCTCTCTCAAATAAATAAAAAAAAAAAAAGACAGCAGTTTTGGTAAAGAGCACATTTGGAAGTTGAGGATCTACAAATTGATTTTCTGAAAACTCTTGGTACCCTAGAGATACCCCACTTCCAATTAGAGGACCACGACCTTCCCACCAGAGGAGGGATTCCCATCCAGAATCCACATTTCTTGTGCTCATAGATCTATTATGCTTCTTTCTACTTATTGTCGTTTCCATGTTCTCCAACCCTTCTTTCTTACAAAAATTTTAAGGGCCACTGTGAATCCCAGCTCCTACCAAATGCTTCCTTCCCTTTCTTCTGAATTCCTACCGCGCTTAGAGTTTGAACCTCACTTCCCATCCCACAATACGCACTGTGTTATCCTGGTAATTTTGTTTCATGACAGTTTAAATACATTGGAATGAAGTTCCTCGCAATAGATCTTGGTGTCCTTGCAAGAGAAATGAACTTCGGTTTTTGTTTTTGGGGTTTTTGGTTGTTGTTGTTTTTAAGATTTTACTTATTTATTTGAGAGAGAGAGAGAGCATGAATGAGAGAGAGAGAGAGCGTGAGAGGAGGAAGAGTCAGAGGGAGAAAGCAGATTCCCTGCTGAGCAGGGAGCCTGATGTGGGAATCAGTCCTGGCAATCCAGGATCATGACCTGAGCCAAAGGCAGTCACTCAACCAACTGAGACACCCAGGCACCACTGAGAAATGAACTTTGATATCAGCTACCACATAAGCTCCAGGAGGGCAAGGACTCCTTCTGTTTTGTTCTGTCCCATGTAGCCAGCACCCAGCCCAACACCTGGCATATAAGTGCTTAATAAATAATTCACTGAGTAAATGAACGGACTTGAGTTTGAATCTTAGCTCCTTCATCACTTTTAAGCTGCGTGACACCCACTCATTCTTTTTAGAATGGAATCATTCAACAAACACCTGTTGCATGCCTGCTAAGAGCCAAGTGTTGTGCTAGGCACTGGGGATGTAAGTTGGAACACATGTCCATGCCCTCAAGGAACTCATGTGTCTAGTTATGGAGGCTGTTACCTGAAGTAAGGTGGGAAGGACAGCCAGTGTTCCAGCCCAGAGGAAGGAGAAGGAGGGGAGCCATTAGCAAATCTATAAAGCAGAGGCATAGGAGGCTCTCCTGGGCTAGAGCATCACAAACCTCCTGTGCCACGTGTGGGAACGTGAACTTGACCTGACTGATTACATATGGGGCAAGATGGAGAAGGAATCGAAGGTGAGGATGCAGGAGGAGGCTATGAAGGCCTTAGCTGCAGCAGTGGCCATGGCCATGGCCATAGAGAGGGAGGGATAGCTATGAGAGAGTGAAGGAGGGTCTACCGGATTTCATGATGGGCTGTGTACCACAAGGGAGGGGTGGGGGGAAGGAGCACCCTACATTTCAGATCTCTGTCTTAGGTGACAAAGCCAGTGAGTCAAATAATATGGGAAAAGAAGCAAGTTTGGAAGGCTTTGGGCACGTTACCTCACCTCGCTGGGCCTCAGTTTCTCCACATGGAACATGAGAATGATAATACCTCTCAGGATTGCCAGGAGAATGAAATAGCCAGGGGAAGTGCAGGGCATATAGACCAGATGCTCAGTAACCACACCTAGGTGCTACTAATAATAGCGCTTGCTCGTGGGCCAAGCACTTAATCCGCACAACAACCCTATCAGGCAGGTACCGTTAGCATCCGTATTTTACCACCATGGGAACTGAAGCGCAATCAGGTGAGCAGACTTGACCAAAGTCACCCAGGTAGTAAGCGGCAGCATGTACTTGCCTCGCCCCACCCTCCACTTTATTCTCGGGGACCTACAACTAGACTTGAGGCTGAAAGAGCGGACATGGCGGGAGAGAGGGACGGCAGACCCGATCGAGGGTTCATTCCAAGAACAGTTTTTATTTGGAAATGCACCTCCACAACCTGGTGGCAGTCTGAGGGCACATGCCGTTGGCTTGCTGGTTTGCTCTCTTTTCCAGCCCAGGGCACGGGGTCCTTGGGGTTAAGGCACAAGGTCAAGTTCTCAAGGATCAACATCCCAGACAGCCTAAGCGGTCAGGGGCTTGGGGCTGGTGCCAAAAATGAACTAGGCTCCATTCTGGACTGTGTCATGGTTGGAGGGCCAGAGCTCCTGGCACCGGGACCTTAGCTCCCTCTTCTGCGGGGGCTAGCATCACCCACAGGCCAGCTGTGGCCAGGTTCTGGTGGGTATGAGTTTGGGGGAAGAGGGGATAGCAGAGGCTAATTTTCTAGTGCTGGGTCCATTTTATCTTCCTGAGGGGTGGAAGCTGAGACGGGCGCCTCGTCCCCACCGTTGAGGGACTTCTGCTGTTCACCACTGCTGGGCGAGGGGGTCCGGGTGCCCTGGGATCCCCAGCGGGTCAGGCGCTTTAGGGAGGAGTCACGGCGGGCAAGTAGATGTGGCTGGAAGCCTGTGAAGGAGCTACTGGTGGTGGGACGCTTATCTGGCAAAGAAAAGGCAACCGTGAGTAAGGAGAAAGGCAACCTAAAGAGAGAGGTTGAGAGGCCTTGTCTCAGCCCTTGGGGGAGAGGAGAACCTGAACTTCAATCCCATGCAGCCTCTCTAGATCTGGAGGTATCCCTTTCTCCCTCCCTTCCCCCGCTCCACTCCAGAGAAAGTTCCAGGCTTTCCTCCTTCTCACCTCCAGGCTCAATTGGATGCATGAGCCGGTTCATCTGAACATTCCAGTGTTTCACGTTGGTGCTGGCCTGCCGCAACTTCCGCTGGGCAGCCTGTGGGGTCAGGGCCAGCGGACAGCGTGTCAGAGACACCATCCTCCACGGGGTGTCTTGACCTTTTCAGGTCTGCAGGCCCCTTAGAATCTGATGAAGGCTATTGATCATCTCCCCAGAAAAACTCACATATTTCATAAAGAGTTATATAGATGAACTTCCAATTTCAGGGGTCTCATGGACTCCCGAAAGGGTCAAAAATGGTCATCATTATAGTTCCATTCATTAAGCAGCTAAGAGGTGCTAAGTATATTTATCATTTTAGTTTATCTCCAGAGCAGATGCTAACAACAAACCAGTGCAAAAGAAGTTAAATGATGGGGTGCCTGGGTGGCTCAGTCAGTTAGGCATCTGCCTTCGGCTTGGACCATGATCCCAGGGTCCTGGGATGGAGCCCCACATTGGGCTCTCTGCTCAGTGGGGAGTCTGCTTCTCCCTCTCCCTCTGCTCCTCCCCCTGCTTGTGCTCTCTCTCCCCCTCTCTCTCTGTTGAATGAATGAATGAGTAAATAACTAGAATTTTTTTTTTTTTAAAGAATTTAAGTGACTTGCCCGGTGACCCATGTTGAACTGTAAACCACCACACCACACCACCTCTCCAGGACCAAAAGTAAAACCTCTTCTCCACGGGTCCCCTAGCCCTTAGCAGTGGTTGTCAGGTGAGGGAATCACGGAGGAACTTCCCCTTTCTATGTTATGTGTTTCTGTGTCAGGATTTTTTACAATGACCAAGTCAAAATAAAATTATATTAATAGAACATAAAACATTAGGGGTGCCTGAGTGGCTCAGTTGGTTAAGCGCCTGCCTTCAGCACAGGTCATGATCCCAGGGTCCTGGATGGAGCCTGCATCCGGTTCCCTGGTCATGGGGATTATGTTTCATTCTCTCCCTCTACCCCTGCCCCCAGCTTGTACCCTCTTTCTCAAATAAATAAAATCTTTAAAAAATAAAGATAAAAAAATAATAAAAACAACAACAACCAAAGAACCCCTCTTCTGTGGAGATGAGAGCCAAAGTACAGGGATAGCAAGGTAGGAGCTTGGAAGAGGATGAGGAAATCTTGCCCAGATTGATAATAATGATAAAAATAGCAGCTAATGTTTCTTCCACACTTGCTGCATACTAAATATCACACCCACCAGCTCCTTTAGTCTTCAGGCCATGCTTATTACCGGCCAGATGAGGGACTCGAATCTCAGAGAGGTTAGGCAATCTGCCTGAGGTCACACAGTGGGGAGACGGTCGAGTCGGGGTTTGAGGGAAGGCTCCAGTTCCTCTGCGTGAGGGGCTCACCCCGTTGCCCACCCCCACCCCAGGCCTCACCTCCACGTCCTCGTCTGCCCTCTGCCGGTTCTGCCGCACCTCCTCCAGCTGCTGCTGGGCTTGCTGCAGGGAACGGCTCTGCAGCGCCATCTCCTGCTGCAGCTCTTGCTTCTCCTGCTGTGCCCGCTCGATGTAGCGCTCCTGCTCCTCCTTCAGCTGCAGCAGCTGCTTCAGTTTCTCCTCCTCCTCCTCTAGCAGTCTGCCAAGGGGGGTGCGCACTGGGTCGTCTCCAGAGCCAAGGCACCTCGCAGGTGCTCAGCAAGGAGGACGCCGGGGAAGCAGGGGAGGGGAACGAGAAGGGGCCCCTCAGTCCTACCTGGTCTGGGCGAGGCGCACGGCCTCCTCGTCCCGCCGAGCTTTCACCTCCAGGTGCAAGGCCTCCTCGAGCCTCTGCTGCATCTCCTCCAGCTCCTGGATCCGCTGCCGCTGCCGGGCAGCCTCCTCCTTCTTCAGTTCCATTTCAGCCTGCATGGAAGCCCGGGCCTGTGCCGGGGCGCGGAGCCACGTCACCGGGTGCACCGCGTGGGGTAGAGGAGCCTGCTGGTGCACTGCCCTTTCCCCAGGACTCCTCTAGGCTGGTCCACATAGCTCTCTGTCCCATTGAGGGTCTGGGGAGTTTCTTCATGTCGGGATTCCTTCCTGATCTGATCTCTTTCTGAGAGCCTTATGAGGTCAGATAATGGTCAGTGAACAGATGCTACGGGGGGGGGGGGGGGTAAAGTCACCCCCTGCCTAGCACCAGCCTTAATTATTATTATGTGTTATAATATTAGGTATTATGACTATAATTAGGGCTAGTGCCAGGCAGGGCGAGACTATAATTATAATAATTGTTGTAACAACTAAAGGTGTTTCCTAATTTGATCCTCATCATACCTCTAGGAGCATAGTTAGCATCAACAGGTCACTGATAAGTAATTGAGCCACAGAGAGGCTAAGTAACTTGCCTGAGATCACAAGGCTCCTAAGTAGGCAGAGTGGCGATCGGATGGATCCAGGTGTCTCTAACTCCAGCTCTAGATCTCTTAAATCCTATATCTGATTGCCTCTACATGTCTAGTCCGCCTCCACATTTGTCTCTCCTTCCTCCCATCCTGCATTCCCCAAACTGGTTTCACTGTACACTTAGATCAAGTCTAGTCCGATCTAGTCTAGCGTTGTTCCAAACTCATTCCAGACTATGGGGGTCTTTAGCAGCGTCTCTGTCCAAGCCCCGCCCCCAGCCCAGGTCTCCTCTACCACCTATAGCACTTAGCTTCGGCCCCGCCCCATCTTTCATCTCAAGCCATCCCACGGCCAGGTTCCTGTACCCCCATCCCCTCCTCACGCCGCCCCTGGCACAGGGCCCGTCCCAGATCCAGGCTTCAAGTGCCGGGCTCTGTCCCAAGTCCCTCATTCCAACCCGCCTCCATGCCACTCCTTACCAGGACCGCGGGCTCCGCCCCCGACCACGCCCCCAGCCCTCGGCTTTGGGCCGGGTCTCTCCCCATCCCCACCTCCCCGCCCCCGCCGGGAGCCGGCCCCACCTGCTCCGCCTCGCGCAGTTGGCCCTCCAGCGCCTGCTGCAGCTCCCGGTGCTGGCTGCGGCGTCGCTCCTCCTCCTCCTGCAGCAGGCGCTCCGCCTGCCTCTGCGCCTCCTGTAGCAGCTCCAGCTCCTGCAGCTTCCGCTCCTTCTCCTCCTGCAGCTGCTGCAGGCGCAGCAGCTCCTCCTCCTTGGCTGCTCGGCGTCGCTCCCGCTGCTCCCGCTGCTCGCGCCTCTTCTGCTTCAGGTCCTTGTGCAACGACGTCTTCCCCTCGGCCTGCAGCCGGATCGCGGTCTGGATGGCTGCGGAGGGACAGAGAGGGGGTCAGCAGGGCGCCAGCCGGGAGCAGCGGGGTCCTCGAGGTGGCCCACCTCCAGAAAGGGGCCTTCGAGGCGGCTCGAGGCAGTCTCCAGCCTCCCGCTGGGCAGTGTCATCACCCCCCTTTACACAGAGGAGGCGACTGAGTCCAGCCAGACCCAGGCCACCCAGCGAGCGCTCACCAGCTGTCCATTCCTGGCGCTGGCGCGTGTCTGAGGCGCTCATCTCGTACGTGCGGGTGGCTGTCTTCACACAGAACATGCAGCGCTTCCCCTCTCGGTCTGGCAGCACCTGGAAGAGGGCAGGTGGTCCGAGACAGGCTGGCTTCACTGGGGTCAGGGTGCCGCAGGGGTGCTCCAGCTCCATCCCCTACCCCTTCTTGCTGACCTCCTTCCCAGGGCACTGCTCCCAGTCTGCCGGGAGCCTGTTTGGCCTGGCAAAGAGGTTAGTTCTGGGTGCGCTCGTGTCCCCGCAAGTCTTGTAGCCTCTGCTCTTTGTAGGTAGGGTGGGGAAGTTTTTGTCTTGGTGTCTCTCCATGGGGCCTGGCACCTAGTCCATTACCGAGTGTGGGCACAGATCATTCTTGAACACCTTCCATGACAGGGTCCTCACTACCCAAATCATTCATTTTCACATAGCCCTGCCTGTTGGGTAAGTTCTCCATTCATTCATTCCACAGATATCTTGGAGTGTCTCCTGAGTGCGGCTCATTGTTCTAGGCAGTTAGGATACTGAGGTGGGACTAACAGACCAAATCCCCGCCTTCCCTAAGCTTATATTTTACTGGAAAATACAGCTACCACTTTTTGAGATTCTTCTCCTTCTTTTTTATTTTTTTAAGATTTTATTTTTAAGCAGTCTCTACACCCAACATGGGACTTGAAAACTCAGCCTCGAGATCAAGAGACACACTCCATTGACTAAGCCAGCTGGGTGTCCCACGTATTGAGCTTCTTGTGCTCTCGAGGCTGAACTAGTGTTTAGATGCATCATTTTATTCACAATGCCAAGACAACCTTGCCAAGCAGGCATTATTAGTTCCACTTTACAGAAAAAGAAACTGAGGCTTTACTAGGTCCAGGAACATGCCCAGTTCACACTGCCTGTTGGTGGTGGAGGTGGGCTTTCTGCCCAAGATCTATGCTCTGTCCTCAGTGACACCTGTTTCTTTATGTGGCAAAAATGGAGAGAACCTAGGATGGCTTCAATAATTTTTTTAAAGATTTTATTTATTTATTTGAGAGAGAGAGAGAGAGAACAAGTGGGGTGAGGGACAGAGGGAGAAGCAGACCGCCCCATGAGCAAGGAGCCTGACGCAGAACTCGATCCCAGGCCCCTGGGATCATGACCTAAGCCAAAGGTAGATGCTTCACTGACTGAGGCACCCAGGTGCCCTATAAGAATAATTTTTTTAAAATGTAAAATAACACATGTTGACAAGGATATGGACAAAGTGGAACTCTCATACACTGCTGGTGAAAATGTGAGATGGTACAGATGGTTTGGAAAACAATTTGGCTATTCCTTAAAAGTTAAACATAGCATTACCATATGATCTAGCAATTCTACTCAGTATATACCCAGAGACATGAAAACATATGCTTACCCAGAAACTTCTGTATGGATGGCCAAACCAGCATTATTCGCAATGGCCAAAGTCATTGTCCATCAGTCATTGTCCATCAGTCCATGAGTGGATAAACAAAATGTGGTCTATCTATGTGATGGGATATTATTCAGTCATAAAAAGGACTGAAGTCCTGACCTGTGCCACAACATGGATGGACTTTGGAACTTTACGCTGAAGAAAAGCCAGTCACAGAGGGACAAAATATTAGGTGATTCCATTCCATTCTAGGTACCCAAAATAGGCAAATTCGTGGAGACAGAAAGTAGAATAGAGGATACCAGGGACTGGGGAGAAAGAGAAAGAAGGGATGAGTTATTTCTTAATAGGTAGAGAATTTCTCTTTGTGATGATGAAAAAGTTTTAGAAATAGATAGTGGTGAGGGTTACACAACATTGTGAATGTACTTAATGCTAAGAATTGTACACTTAAAATGGTTAAAATGGCAAATTTCATGTTAGGGGTGTGTGTGTGTGTGTGTGTGTGTGTGTAGGTGTATATATACATTTTTTTAAAAACTACAATTTAAAATAATTGTTTTAGGTCTCCTAAAATAATAACAGACAGAGCCAAGGGGGGAAAAGGGAGGGGAAGCACTGGAGGAGAGGGCTGTGGAGAAAGACTAGGGATGAATAAAATTGCCAAAGTGAATGGAATTTGGGTGAAGGAGAAAAACTTTTTAAGGGGATTTTTGGAAAGTTTTGCTGTGGGGGTACCAAGTTGGCTCAGTCAGTTAAGTCTCCGACTCTTGATTTTGATTCAGGTCGTGATGTCAGAGTCACAAGATGAAGCCCTGCAGTGGGCTCCTTGCTGAGCCTGGAGGCTGCTTAAGATTCTCTTTCAGGGCACGTGGGTGGCTCAGGTCATGATCTCGGGGTCCTGGGATTCTCCTTCTCCCTCTGGCCCCCCCTACCCCATGCCCGCCCCTCTCTCTCTCAATAAGTAAATAAATCTTTTTTTTAAAAAAGGATTCTCTTGGTGCACCTGGGTGGCTCAGTGGGTTAAGCCTCTGCCTTAGGCTCAGGTCATGATCTCAGGATCCTGGGATCGAGCCCCGCATCGGGCTCTCTGCTCAGTGGGAAGTCGGTTTCCCCCTCTCTCTCTGCCTGCCTTTCTGCCTACTTGTGATCTCTCCTTCTATCAAATAGATAAATAACCTATTAAAAAAAAAAAAGGAGTCTCTCTCCCCCACCCTCTGCCCCTTCTCCACACCCCTCTGCCACCCACTCTCTTTCTCCCTAAAAAAAAAAAAAAAAAAAGTTTGCTCTGTAGCATGAGACATAAGCCATCTCCTCTAAAATCCTTAGCAAAATCCACATTACTCACCAGTGGCTTTAGTATTAGATTTGTTGCAGTTTGGGTTTTTTTTTTTTTTTTTTTTTTTAACGCGCTGGCATGCATGAGAATGGCCTTGTGGCACCCAGGTATATTTGGGTTACGGTCATCTAAGCAGACGTGGCTTATCTCCATCCACTCTCCTCCCGAGCCTCTTGCTTTTATACCACACTGGAGAGCCTCTGGGCCCTGAATTGCACTCCACCCCCTTCGCTGGTCCCCCTCACCTCCACGCAGCATTGTGCATCCAGTGGGATGGTACCCCTCTTCTCCTTGCACTCTTCACTCCCGAAATAGCAGAGGGAGCTGGGCTGCAGCTGGAACCAGCGTTCTGCCCAGTTCCTCCGCAGGTGCCCTCGCTTCCACAGGTAGCCCTGTCATAGCCAGAGCCAAGTCAGAGGCGTCACTGCGCACCCCCCACCATCCCCTCTTCACCCTGTCTTGGGTCCTCCCTGAGTTCCCAGCTTGGCCTGACCTGCTTCAGGACATCTTGGATGAGCTCCTGGTAGACTTCGTGGATGGCCATGCTGAGGGTGTCCCGCCCCACACCTCGAAGACAGCGCCCCGAGTTGAAGAGCTCTAGGAACTGCCAGACGCTGAGCCCTCCGGTGGTCTGGGCGGCCTGGGCTTCCTGGGCCAGCAGCTCCTCCAGCTCACCCAAGCCCACCTCCAAGCTCATGCTGCTGAGCACCTTCTTCAGCAAATATTCCACCTGGAGGAGGCGGGGAGCCTGGTGACTATAGCAGACAGTGTTGCCTATGACAATATCGGGATGGGGGGGCGCCCTCTCTGGCTCCCAGAGCCTGGGCAGAGGTGACCAGGGACAGGGGGTAGGGAAGCCAGATGACTAAATGTTGGTAGAAACCAGGGTGGAGTGGTGCTCAGGTGGCTCAGTCGTTAAGCATCCGCCTTCGGCTCAGGTCATGATCCCCGGGGTCCCAGGATTGAGCCCTGCATCAGGCTCCCTGCTCAGTGGAAATCCTGCTTCTCCCTCTCCCATTCCCCTGCTTATGTTCCCTCTCTCGCTGTCTCTCTGTCTGTCAAATAAATAAATGAAATCTTAAAAAAAAAAAAAAAGAAATTGGGGTAGATTGGAGGAGGAATCCTGGAGCCCCAACCCCAATTTGGGCATTCCCTTCCCCTCCCCAATTACCAGTCCCACGTCCCATTCCTTCATGCTTTAAATCAAGGGCAGGGTGAAGGCTGAGGGCTGGGGGCCAGGCAGAGGCAGCAAGTCATATAACACGTCAGAGGGGCACAAAGGCCCTCTCGTCCAATACCCTTACTTGGCCAACGACCAAACTGAGGCCCAGAGGGGGAAGTGACTCGTTCTAAATCATACAGCAAGTTGGTGGCAGCTAGAACTCGAGTTGTATCCCATCTGAGTCCTTATTCCAAACCCAAGCCCCAACCCCGAGGATCCTTCCCTTCTGGGAGGGCAAGGGGATTGGGGGTGGGTGTAAGCAGGGCAGGGACAGGAAACCTGCTACAGAGGAACAGGAAGTGGCGGTTGGGGTTCATCCTGCTGCAGTTTGTACATAGAATGTGTTGATCACAGCAGTGAGCAGCCTTCTGGCCTATGAGGGGCCCCCTTCCCCTGGTAGGCGGGGGTCTGACAAGGGTATCTAGCCGTGTGCCTGTGCAGATGGACACGTGTCCCCTACCTGCCCCAGCAGCTGCTTGGGACACTCTCTGTAGGACTTTCCCTCTGGAGGTTACTGGTCCAGCTGGGAGTGGGGTGGGTGTACCAGTTCAGTGATTAGACATCTCCCCTCGCCCTTCCAGGAGATAAGTCTGAGTGAGGTTAGATACGTTAGGACTTCTTGTGAACACAGAGGACCCCTCCCCACCATACCTAAGACCTAAATTCACCCTGGCATCTTCACAGCCACCAAAAGGGCAAAAATTTCAGGAGAAGGCTAAATGTGTGGGGTAGAGGTGAAGTGGGAAGGGGGGGGCATGTGCCCTGGCTTCGTCCATAAGCTGAGGAGGTAGGGGAACACAATCCAGGCCTTTACCCCCAGATGCCCTCTGGAGCCAGAGCTAGGTGTGCCCCGGCTCTCCTCTATATTACAGAAGACAGGGAGGGAAAAATCTAGAACTGGGGCCAGATTTGGTTGCCCATCCAGCCCTGGAGTAATGGGCCATACATCCCTGGAAATTCTCCCTTCCCCTCATCTAGTAACCTTCTCAGATTGCCACAGTGCCTGGAATCCTGCCATTCAATCTTAAATGTTTTCATTTTTAAATGCCCTGTAAGGTATCAGGCATTTACACTGTCATGTAAATAGAATCTGTGGTCATTTTCTTCCCTTGAGGGCTAAGAGAGCACTGAAGGAAGGGTAGTTTTGGTTTTCCTGGGCACAATGACTCTGATACAGACAATTCTAGGCATCTGGAGACAGCTGGGGGAAGAGAAGCACCAGCATGGAGAGACCAAGAAGAAAGGGGATGTGGGAAAGTTACAGAGGCGATTTGGCCTCCTTCAAGGTTTTGCTGGCCCCAGGGATTCAGTCCCTGGGACTGCCATTGCCATTGCCCTCACCTCATCAGGAACCATGATCAGAGGGTACTTGTCCTCGGACAGGAAGTTGAAGAGGCACCAGAGGCGGAAGGCATCATCATTGGAGAGCATGCTGTTCCCGTTGCTGTCCACCCGGTAGTTCTTCTTGGCCGTCAGGGTCCAGCAGAGCTCATCAAAGTGTTCCTTAACGAAAGCCCCCTCCTCCACCTGCCACCAGGCCAGCAAGTCAGCCAAAACGGCCAGCCCATCCCAGCTCTCCCACCAGACAAGTCTCTAGCTGCTTTTTCTAGACTTGCTTTCCAAGTCTCTTCCCTGCTCCCCACCCTGCCAAGCTGGGGCTCTCTAACTTGAGGAGTCCCTGAGCTGCTTATCAGGTAACTAGCTGATTCCCACCACTCACCCCCTCCACACACACTTGAGTCCCCTGCCGATAGAGAAACCTGTCCCTCAGCCCAGGGGAGAAAGGAGGGGAGGCCAAAGGTGGCGGGATGGACAACTAGGAAGAACCCAAGAAGAGAGGGACGGCTGGGAAGAGCAGGAGGCACAGCCCTGGGGGAAGCCGGAGAGACCTTTGTAAAGGTTATGGCTGGAGACAGCAGGTGAGCTGAGGAGGGGGTGGGGTGGAAGGGTGGAGGCTAGAATAGAGGTGAGGGAGATGGAGGAGGGAGTGAGTGGGGGAAGGGTGGGGGCGAGTGGCTGGAATCTGAAGGATGGAGATGGGAGGGCAGGGATGGACAGTGGGGAGTTTATAGGTGGGAGGAGTAGGGGTTGCAATGTATTGGGGCGCTGCACAGACTGGGAAATGGGGAGAGGCACCCCCTCAAGCGAGGCCCCACCTTGTCCAGGATGTACTTGTTGAGGTAAGGCATGTATCCCTGGCTGGACACGGGGCCGTCGTCATCATCCCGGAAGTGCTCCTCCAGAGCCACGGGGTCGTGGGGGATGTGAAGGACCGTGTACAGGTTGTGGGACAGCACCTGAGATAGAGTGGTGGTTTGCCTTCCTGTGTCCCAGCCGGAACCGGACTAGAGGGGTGCTGCCACCTCCAGGCTTGTCCCCATTCCCATCCCAGCTAAGTCCTCTGCACGCATTATTCAATTCAATCATAACTAAAACATAGGCATCTAAATACGGGGGAATATGATTCAGCCATACAAAAGAAAGACATCTTGCCATTTGTGACAACATGGGTGGAACTTGTGGGCATTACACTAAGTGAAACAAGTCAGAGAAAAATATATACCATATGATCTCACTTCTATGTGGAATCTAAAAAACAAATTAACCTCTCATCCCCCTACTGTAAGCTCAGAGACAGAAAACAGATTGGTGGTTGCCAGGGGTAGGGGATAGGGCAGTGGGTATACTGGGTGAAGGGGGTCAAAAGGTAGAACTTTCAGTTATAAAATAAGTCATGAGGAGGTATCCTACAACGTGGAGACTATAGTCTGGCCTATCTGAAAGTTGCTAAGACTAGATTTTTAAAAATTCTCATCCCAAGAAAAAAGTATTTTTTTTTTAAAGATTTAATTTATTTATTTGACAGAGACAGAGAGATCACAAGTAGGCAGAGCGGCAGGTAGAGAGAAAGGGGGAAGCAGGCTCCCCGCTGAGCAGAGAGCAGATGCAGGCCTCAATCCCAGGACCCCGAGATCATTACCTGAGCTGAAGGCGGAGGTTTTAACCCACTGAGCCATCCAGGTGCCCCCCAAGAGAAAAGTTTTGTAACTATGTATGGTGATAGATGTTAACTGGACATTGCGGTGATCGCTTCACAATATTAATAAATACCTTGTCATTAATTTGTACACCTGAAACTAATATAATGTTATATGACAATTATATCTCAATAAAAACAAAACAAAACAAAACAAAATCCTAAACAATACACACCTTACTATGCACCAAGCCCTGAGCTAAGCACGTTATAATTAATTCACTTAACCCCCAACACCACTGTTAATATCCCCGCTTTACACATGAGGTAAAAGAGCTGGGATTCAAACCCAAGCAGCCATGTTCTCAGCCACTTCATTGGGTAGGGATGTCGTCTTTCTGCAGACAAGGACACTGAGGGTCAAGAGATCCAGGGACTTGCCCAAGGATCCACAGTGAGCAAGAGTCTGGATTCAAACCCAGCTCCGCAGATCCCAAAACTCAGGGGCTTCCTAGGATGCTGGGCTGTCAACAGGGAGGTGGCTGTCGTCCCAGGGCAGGAGCACCGATTTCCTATCATTCCCATCAAAGACTTGGGATTCAGGCTGCAGCGTGTCTGCTCCAGTAAAGGCAAGTGCAGCTCTCCCAGTCACTGTCCTTCAAAGATGGAAGGGAGCTGGGGAGGGCTCAGAGAAGGCTTGTGCAAGATGGTGTGTGACATGTGGAGGAAAAGGCCTGGAAGGGATGGTGGGTGGGATGGCACGGAGGGAAACACGAGTTGGATAACAAACCACGAAAGAGATTGAAGTTTGAACAAGATCAGGAAAAAATAAAATTGCCTTGGGGGTAATTCTGTTGTAGTACGTATCACAGAGGAAATGGTTCAAGTACTCATTACTAGGTCACCTGGGTGGCTCAGTTGGTTGAGTGTCTGCCTCCTGATTTCTGCTCCGGTCCTGATCTTGGGGTCATGAGATCGAGCCCCACATTGGGCTCTGTACCGAGCCAGCAGTCTACTTGGGATTCTCTCTCTCCCTCTTCTTCTGCTCTCTGCCCCCACTTGCACACACACTCTCTCTAAAAAAATAATAAAATAATAAAGTTCAGAGTAAACAGCCGAGCTGAGCTTGAAAGCAGGTGTGCCTGGCTCTGAAGGCTGCCTCACTATTCCAGTGCTGACCCTCAGGCTCTTTCTGCAGGTAGATTGCGACTCTGGAGACAACCTCTCTGTTCCTATGTCCCACGGCCCCTGTGTTCTCTTCTGCACATGAAACACGAGTCAGTGAATGCTGTGCAGAAGGGCTGTTCCCACCAGCAGCAGTTAAGCTTAGAATCAGTTCCTGAGGCAGGAGCTGGTAACATCCCAGAGGTGGGGCTTCTTTATTCTCTGGTGAAAGGTGCGGGGGGCGGGGGGGGGGGATTGGACAGGACTAGACGACACAGGACAAAGAATTGAGAATTTTCCCCAGTATTCCACTGAGCCTCAGGCTCCACTGCAGCAAAGCTGGAAGTTGGAAGGCCCAGCCAGAGGGAGCTTCTCTTTTCCCCTCACTCCCCTCTGGGCAGCCATCCTTGACCCCCACCTCCATCCCTACCCTCGTCCCCACGCTCTTCAGATCATGTCCTGCGCCAGGTTTTTTGTTTGTTGTTATTTATTGGACAGATGGAGATCACAGGTAGGCAGAGAAGCACGCAGAGAGAGAGGAGGAAGCAGGCTCCCAGCTGAGCAGAGAGCCCGAAGCGGGGCTCGATCCCAGGACCCTGAGATCATGACCTGAGCTGAAAGCAGGGGCTTTAACTCACTGAGTCACCCAGGTGCCCCTCCTGCTCCAGGTTTGGTTCTACTTCTCTCATTCTAAATGATAGGCAGTTTCTTTCTGATGAACTCTACCCTTTCCACCCATAGTTGGTAATGGAGCCTTGCTTTTTTTTTGGAGAAGCACCCCTCCCCCATTCACTAATATCTGTGTTATGGACTCTGCACCCCTGGCCCACCGGGCTGTGGGGGTGGGCACATTGAGGTCATGGTGATGGGCTCAAGGAAGGACACATTACCAATCGTGGGCCAATAAGAATCAGCCCTACGACTTTTTTTTTTTTTTTTTTTTTTTTTTTTGCTTCCTCTAGTGGAAAGAGGTATACTCTTCCACAGAATTGTTAAACTGTTGGAAGGGAGATAAACACCTTCACCCTCCACGCCTTGGTTTCATTGTCAGCAAAACAGTGGGATAATACCTGTTCCGTGGACAGGCTGTGAGGATAGAGTGAGAGGACATATGGAGACAGCCAGAGTTAAATCTGCACGGAGCAAATGTTAGATCCCTTCCTGTATAGAAAGTGAGATTTTTTTTTTTAACCTAATGAATTGACATAGATCAGAAGACTGATAACATCAAGTACTGAAGAGGTTGTGGAGAAATAGGGCCATTCTCAAATATCCTACTGTTGAGGTGTGAATTGATAATCTTGCTGGAGGGCAAGAATGTATCAAACTTAAAATTGGGAATGACCCCAGCACTTTTTTTTTCTTTTTAAGATTGATTCATTTCAGAGAGAGAGAGGAGAGTGAGTGTGTGTGTGTAAGCTGGCAGAGGGGCAGAAGGAGAGGGGAAGCAGGCTCCTCGCTGATCTGATGGGGAGGGCTTGATCTCCCAACCCAGAGATCATGACCTGAGCCAAAACAAGAGTTGGTTGCCAAACCGACTGCAACTGCGCCACCCAGACGCCCTGCCCCTCACATTTCTAATCACCTAACCTGGAGATGCTCAAGAGAACAGAGCTACACATACAAGAATCTTCACAGAGGCATTGTTTATAAAACGAGCAATTGGAGACAGCTTGAGGCTCCTTCAGTAGGGACAGGCACATTGCGTCATGGACCTATGTGCGGTTGGAAAGATTTTCCATCTGCCACTTGCAAGCTTATGGGTAAGTGGTTCTCGAAGAACTTGTTGAGAAGATAGAAAGATAGAAAGTTGGCCTACTCCAAAGGGTTTTTTAGAATGAAGAGCTTAGCACAGCACCTGGTGCCTCGCTCATCGTTTAATGAAAGTTGTGTGTTATTTTTATTATGTTTTTTATGAACAGACACGGAAAGATAGGCATACTGTACTGGCTGGTGAAAAAAGCAGCTATAGAATGAAATGTTTGTAAAATAAATGTGTGCAAAGATTAGGTTGAACCATAGCAAATTTTAATAGCTGTTTTAATACGCTGAAACAATAAAATGTCAGCAATTTCATATGGTTCAACTAATCTTTGTACACATGTTTATGTGTATGTAGGAAAAATCTAGAGGATTCAGCAAACTGTTAACAACTCTCACCCCACCATCCTTCCCGAGGGAGGGGAGGAACTTTCATTATCTTTAACATTACATTTGTCTTTGAATTTTAACTACTACCATGTTTTACTTATAGACTAAATTTCATCTTCTTTAAAATTATATTCTTCTGCACTCTGATTTTTTTTTTCAAACAGGAGCACATATTGTTTTTATGACAAAACTTTAAAACTATAGAGATAGAAAGCAAAGAGTACCATTAACCACTGTTATTATTGTACCCTGTTATTAAGTTGCTCTATAATAACATTCCTCTGCTATGCCCTTTTGTGTGAGCATTTCTGGGTGCTCTACATTCCTTGAGGGCAGAAAGGACTCTAAGTTCAGCCTTGATTCCAGAGCTCAGTACCATGTCCCACATATGATAAATGTTTTGACTGACTCCTCAAGTCTAACTTAAATGGTCCAATGGTTTCCTGTTGTTCTCGGAGTAAAATTCCAAGTCCTTCCAGAGGCCTTGGACCCCCTAGAACCTGGCCCGCCACACCTTCTCTGGCTTCATCCCTTTTGCTCCCTTCTCTGCAGCTACTCTGGCCCTCTTGACATTCCTCAGATGGGCCAGCCACACACTTGCCTCAGGGCCTTTGCCCTTGCTATGCCTTCAGCCTGGAACATTCTTCTCCCAGGTCCAGGCATGGCACACACCCTCTTCTCCTTCCTGTCTTTACTTAGATGTCAACCTTCTTAAGGAGGACTTCTCCAGACCACCTTATTTAAATCTATAACCCCATCCCCTCTACCCCCCATCTCTATCCCCGTTTCCGCTTTATTTACTTCCATGTCATGTATCATTTGCAATCACATGATACATTCTTTTTTTTTTTAGATTTTACCCATTTCACAGACAGAAATCACAAGTAGGCAGAGAGGCAGGCATATAGAGAGAGAGAGAGGGAGAAGCAGGCTTCCCGCTGAGCAGAAAGCCCAATGCGGGGCTTGATCCCAGGACTCCGGGATCAGACCTGAGCCGAAGGCAGA